TTTAATACTAGACCAGGTTGCCCAGGGCCCCATCCAATGTGGGCTTGAACACCTCCAGGGATGGGGCATCCACAACCTCTCTGGGCAGCCTGTTCTAGCATCTCACCACTCTCTCTGTAAAGAACTTCCCCCTGAAATCCAACCTAAATCATTGCTCCTTCAACTTAAAACCACTTCCCCTTGTCCTGCTGTTATCTACTCTTTCAAAGAGTTGATTCCCCTCCTGTTTATAGGCTTCCTTTAGGTACTGAAAGGCTGCAATGAGATCACCCCACAGCCTTCTTTTCTCCAGGCTGAACAAACCCAGCTCCCTCAGCCTGTCTTTGTAGGGGAGGTGCTCCAGCCCTCTGATCATCTTTGTGGCTCTCCTCTGGACCCTCTCCAACAGCTCCCTGTCTTTCTTGTACTTGGGGCTCCAGACCTGGACACAATACTCCAAATGGGGCCTCACAAGGGCAGAGTAGAGAGGAACAGGACTCCCTGTCACTGGTGGGCACCCCTCTTCTGATGGAGCCCAGGATACCATTTGCATTCTGAGCTGCAAGAGCATACTGCTGGCTCATGTTAAGTTTTTCATCTATTAAGACCCCCAGGTCCTTCTCTGCAGGGCTGCTCTCACGGACTGCTCCTTCCAGTTTGTATAGATGCCTGGGATTCCTCTGGCCCAAGTGCAAAATCTTGCACTTAGCTGTGTTGAACCTCATTAGATTCACCCGGGCCCACCTTTCAAGTCTGTTGAAGTTCCTCTGAATGGCATCCCTTCCACTGTGCCAACTGCACCACTCAGCTTGGTGTCATCAGAAAACTTGCTGAGAGTGCACTCAATTCCAATCAGCTGTGACATTCTGCTCAGTTACAAAGTTATCACAGAATCATAGAATCCTTAGAGTTGGAAGGGGCCTTTAAAGCTCATCTAGTCCAACTCCCCCACAATAAACAAGGATACCTCAGAGCAAGATTGCTCAGAGCTCTAAGTTGGTCAGAGCCTGGTCCAGCCTGGCCTTGAATGTCTCCAAGAGTAGGGCTTCCACCTCTTCTCTGGACCTTTTTAAGTTTGAAACAATTTCCCCTTATCCTATCACCACAGACCTTACTTAAGAATCTGTCCCTTGCTTTCTTACAGCCCCTCATTAGATACTGAAAGGTCACTATCAGATCATCTTGTAGCCTTCTCTTTTCCAGGATGAGCAGCCCCAGCTCTCTCAGCCTGGCATTTGGAAGTCATTTGAAGCATACTTCCATGGCTTCAACAGAAGCACTCTAAAGAAATAACTTGGCTGTGGATTGCTGGTGTTATAGGATCTGGGAATAGTAATGGAGGTAAAAAAAATCACTTTGCATTTTCATATTTTATTGGTAACAAAACCTAATTGCTTAGGCTTTATGCAGAAGAAATGGATACCACTCTATGTGGAGACTGCCACTTTTTGCTATTATAGTTTCATCCAATTAATAGTTTCATCCAATTAATATCATATAAACGCATGTTTCCAACCTGAAAAGCTACAGGGTCCTACAAGTGCCTTCCTTTTCTTCTTTTAGCTAGGACTGAAAAGGTTACATTAAATTATCAAACTATAACATCAGCATCAAAAATGTATTTCTTCCTCTATTGGCCTTATACGCATCACCAGATAATGTATTTGAAATGAAGCACTATTTGACATCTGTAATGTATTATATCATAAATGGAGTTTATGCTATGCTGACTGCTTTTCTAATACTTGGGTGATTTTCTGCACTAAAAAAATGGACTGACTGGCTCTTCATTTATAATCACAGGACCACATGATTGATTTCTGTACCAGTTTTATGTGGACATCTATGCAATAATGGCTCTCTTTGCACTAATTTCTTCTGTCTGGTTACCTAATGAGATTGTTGATTTATTGATTGTGTCATTTTATAAGCTTTTAGAGACTCATGGGTTTGATTTACACTCTGTGAATAATCTGAGAGAAGTTTTAAAACAGGAGCAGAAGTTAGATATTTATGTCAGCAAAATTAAGGACGCAAGTACTTTATCATAACACATCACTGATAGGGATTTAATTTTATTTGATTTCAAATTCAGAGCAAAGGACAATGAAATTTCATTAATTTGTATACAGTGAGAACTGCATATGTATTTGCATAATATGAAGGTCTTAGAGCATTGTGTGGAATCTGGCCCTTGCATTTCATTCCTTTTAAAGTAGAGTGCTTTTTCATTTTCATACTGCCTGAGACTTGTTCATTTATTCAGGTCTTACAACTTATAAGTTAAACTGCAAAAAATATTCACCAAAGTTGAATACCATGTTACAATTACTTTGTTGTTGTCTTCCATCATTGTTAGCAGTTAAAGTACATATATGTTTTTCATATTTAAATAATTCTACTGTGTGAATAAACATGCAAATGTAGAATCTTTCAGCTTTGCTGAATATCAGTTCTTCTAAAGATCTTCTGGTAAGGATGTTCAGTAAAACGTCTGTAACTCAGTGTTAGGATAACCTGAGGTTCCAGTGATAAAACTTCAGAACAGAGTTGCGTATCAGAAGCAGGGACACAACAGATTTGTATGGATATAAATGCAGGATGACAACAACAATAAAGGAAATGTACAGAATGTTTCTCTCTCTCTTTCCATTTTGTTTTTATCAATCTTTCAAAAACTAACTGAATGCAGAGAGTCTTATATCTTACTATCAAGTGTGGTGGTGACCACTGCAATTTTTATGGAATAATTTCCTAAAAGTTTGAGGAGGGGAAGCCAATGAACTCTCAATACCAGTTCTATCAGTTCCCAGAAATTCGCAGTCATGCAGATATCTACTCCTCTCTGTCCCAGCCTCATCCCCTAGAATACCTTGATCAGATCCATGCCTGTATTTCTCCAGAATGGTCCTTAGGGAAAGCTGCTTTTTTCACTGATTCTGACAAAATCAGAGTCTTAACAATAGAGGCTCCTTTTCTCAAATTACTCACATGTATTCCTCTAACCTAGTTCTGCCTGCTGCTTTTCCAAATTATCTTTCTTTCTTTAAACATTTATTCTCCACAACTTTCTGAGTCACACTTTGTGGTTTACCAGTTTCACCAGTTAGGAGATGGAAGTTGTTCTCTGGAGCTTTCTGCATCCTCAGAAAATTCCTGTTGTTGCAGTCTCCATGGGCATCTCTGATTCTGTTTTCAGCTATCATACCATTTAAGCTCCTTTTCGTTCTACTCTGTCCTTGCATCACTCTCTTTCCCTTTCCCTTTGACTCTTATTTTGCTTAAGCTGTTTTTCTATTCATCTTTATTGAGAAGTAAATGGCCTGAGCGTAATGACTTACTAAATCATTCAGACCAGCCTTCAAACAGTTTATTTGAACTCAAGCAGTAAACCAGGCTTTAGCTCTTAGTTTTCTTCTTACTACCTCATCACTTCATGGAATTTAGTATCCCAGAGGGACATCAGTCACAAATGCACATACCCTTTCAGATTATTTTCTGCTAACACAGCAACATTTCTTTTTCCTTTTTTTTTTTTTTTTTTTCTCTTCAGCTCTTGACAATGGCCTCATTTTTGTAGAAGACAGGAAGCAAGTCTTCTGCTGTGTTTGTAAACTGAGGATATAACCACTTTCCTATCACATATATTCTACTCCAAAAATTCTCTGGTCAACAGAATCATGAAAATCAGACATTTGAAAAGCTCTTATTCTTGTTCCCAACTCCTCCATTGGAAATTTCCTCTTCTCATTGTCTCATGACCAAAAACCATGTCCATGTGATAGAGAATAGCTGGGAATGCTTTACAGTGTAAAATTATTTTTAAAAATGTAATATTAATCCACTAAGTCAATATGTATTCTGCAAAAACTAACCAATCCTATGCGTGCTACAGTGGTCAAACCATAATAATTGTTCTTGGGCTGAACAGCTGCACCGTGTTCCTCCTGTGGGAATGGAATGAGAAATATGCCATGGAGCATGGAATTATATATAACTGAAAACTAGACAGAGGCTGCAACAATGCAAAGTATGTGAATATTATAAGGTCATTTTACGAAGAGACAAATGGAGGGCAAAGGTTTATGACTTGTCAAAAGTAGTACAGTGAGTCCATTGCAAAACCAGGAGCTCTGGGCTCTATACAAGACTGTAAAGCGAACACTAGCATTCGCTCTTGCTATGCTGTTCAGATACATTACAGTGTTAACTTCCACCCTTTCTCTAGTGTATTACTGCTCAAATTACCCATTAGTAATTGGGGTTAGTTTTACTGCCTTGAATTTTGTTCTGGAGCTACAAGTCATCAACTACTAATGCTAACTCACAGCTTTCTGTATGAGCTGATAATGAGTATGCCTGAACATATGTGAAATTGTAATACTACCTTGGAGTTCAGCATCTTCTTTGCTTGGTGTATTATTTCAACCTCCTCATGTTGTTCCTTCACAGCAGGAGGCTGCCATGCAGCAGAATTACTATGGATAACACATGTATATACGTTCACAGAGGTCACTCGCCACTATAAATTATTTGTATGATATACAGTATTGTATTCATAAAGGGGAGAATGAAGTGTATTTGTATTTATGCATTTTCCTCTGAGGAATACAAAACTCTTTCTATATTTCTTAGGACTGCAATTTTTCCCCAGCATACTGATTCCTGCAAATACTACATGCAGAAAGTGGAATCTGCAGGGATAACCTAAGCAAGTGAGAATGAAATATGGCTAAGATAATCTTATTAGTGTTTTGATGTTGGTCCTGCTTATGATTGCCCTTCAGCAAAAAAACTCTTGTGGGACAGACACTGTTTTTGCTATGTACTGAAACTGAGCACTGCCGTTAATAGAAGAGTCAGATCATGGCCCACAGTTTCTTGGGTTTGCCTGGGAAATATTTCCTTTGTGTGAAGCCTTATGCAAGAGTGAAAGGGCTCATGTTATCACCAGCAGAAACCCAAAACCAAGTGTGATGTCATTCAGTGAGGGAATGGCTAAGAAGACAGGAATTCCTTACCACACAGATTCCAGATCCATCAAGGCATCTGTTTGCGTTACCATTACAGTTGCAAGGAGAGCATTTTCCTGAGCTGGTAAGGTAAAATCCTTCTTGGCATTCCTGCAATGAGAAAATAAAAATAAATTATCCCCTATGCAGATGTATTCTGAGGGTTAGGTTTGGCAGGAGAAAGCAAGATGCAGAAGCAAGCAAGAATTGCAACCACCAGGTTTCCTCCAAGTATATTGCACAGCCCTTTCGCAGAAGACCACACACACTGCTGAGCTCCAGTCTGTTCCATTGTTCTTTGCCCTGGTGCTTGCGAATTGCTTTGTGGTGTTCAAGCTGCCAGCATCCCTGCCTGTGTCTGGCCCCTGGTGAGCAGTGGGTGCCTATAGCAGTGGGGACAATAAACTGCATTTTGTTCTAGATGATGGGTCAGCTAGAAGTGATGACTGTTATTGAGTAAAGAAGGTATACGTTTTACTTTGAAAAGCCTTAAAAAGCTTACTAAAAGCAGACTACATATTGGCTTTAATGAGCTTTGAATGAAGAGCTCTGAGAAGGCAGAGCCATATCTATAAAGATCAGTGTCCTTCTGAGTGAAAGCTGGTGGGCTTTGTGAGATGCTATCTGACTGTAAGACTGGTGAGATGTGCCAACACTATATAAGTCCCTGGGAGATAGAACAGTTCTTCAGTCATTCTTCATGAGATACAATAAATAAATGGGAGAGATTGCATGAAAGCTAAGATTTCCCTGTTTTTTTTTCTTGAAGATGTGGCTGTGCCTAGCGTGTATCAGTTAACATAACGGTGTTTATCAAAATAAAACAGAAGATTGTAAATATCTAAATTGACTTCTTTTAAACACTAATTACAGCAATAGCGTAAGCAGTCAGAAACACAGTGCTATTAAGATGCCACTCTAAGACTGGAAGATAAGAAGAAAATGAAAGAGGATTGCTTTTGTGTGGTCTTTTATGTGAAACTTGTTCTCCGCAGAGGACATTACACCTCATTGTGCAGCTGGTGAGACGTGCATGAGCTGCTCTTGGGAGTAACCTCTGCTGCTCAGACAGTGCCTGCTCACCTTGTATAGCAACCTCCCTACATTATATGGGTGATGTCAAATCCACACAGATTCATACAGTTTTGGATCTTAATGCTATTACCACTGCATAACTGTTGTAACGTTGTTGCAGAGCTGATGAGAATATTACTGAGATCTTCAGAAATTACTTGCCCCACCTTCTTTTAACTGGCACTGAAGAAGACCGTCCCTGACGTGACAGTAAGAGCCTGAGATACACCAGGCTCCCCTGAAATATTTTTTTTGTAGCTGACTCTACAGTACTTTCTGTATTCCCTGGTTCCTGATGTCACTTATTCCCGCACTGGCCTAATAATCTCTTCTCATGCCCACTTTGAGTACGATGTGAACACCAGGACTACAGTGTGGGTGCAGGATGGTGATTCCTCCACTGGCTCGGAAGCCAGCCTGAATGCGGTATTGCTCCCTGTTCTACTGGTGGCTGGAGCTAACCCTGGCACAGTGCTACAGCTGAATTGCTTCTGGGGCCTGGGATCTTGGATGTCTGCCTGGTGCTATAGACACAATATGGAGCACCGGATACCAAAAGCTGAGGTTCATTTGTGTGTTAGCTTCCATTCTCAAGGGTGGATGGATCCTTTTATCCAGTCGGATGAGCTTCTTGTTTAGGAAATAACATATGTTATAAGATGACTAACAAGATTTAAGAATGAGGCTTACAAATGAATCATTAGTCTGGTCTTATCCCAGAGAGCTCCAAGGATCTGAGATGGACATAAATGGAGAACTCAGTTGCCTTTAATGTTCTTACACACAATATTTTATCTGCTTTGCTCTGGAAACACTTTCATAGATAATAGCTCCCGGGAGGAAAAGCCTTCACCTCACCACTTTGGAACAGCAGAAATACTATCCGTTAGTGCTGCTTGTTTCTTTCAGTTGTTTAGTCTTAGTCTTAGAACTGTAGACTGACTCCCACCAGACTAAGGATTTCAGCTGAATGATTACGCCACACACTGTGGAAGGCAGACAATTATTTTCTAAATTGAAAACAGATTCTTTTCCCAGTGTCTTTCTTGGCAATATTTCTCTTTATCCATACAATTTTAAGGCATGCTATGTTCTCTGATGCCCTGCAACTGGTGGGTGGTCCTAGATGATCCATGAGAGCCTGAAGCCTGGCTCTGCAGGTCTAAGCAGAATTGTTTCTGACATAGGATGGTGAATATGGATGATGGAAATGTATGTCTTTGCGCAAAGATGTCTAAACAAATTCTTCATATGGCCATAAATATTATTTGCTTTAAACTTCAGCTGGGGTAAGTCTGCCTTGCAGCCAGTTCTCTCACCCAGAATAAGCAAGTTAGGTGCAGGACAGCACAGTGTCACTGGAACCAGCTGCACGGGCCTGGTTGCATAGTTGTTGAAATAGCATACTGGGAAACAATTTACCTCCTACTCTGAGTGGACACTACAGTACTTCTCAGCCCCCAGAGACATCTGTCCCAACCTGGAGTGTCTGCTATCATGGCTGTCAGAGACACTTGAAGATGAGATGCAGGTGCCTAAGTCACTTGGGTAATTTCTGTTAACATCATCTTCTCAGAACTATTCAGTTCATCACAATAGCTTGGGAACTGATATTTTAAACTCTGGGTTGCATCAATTTAAACCAGAAATGAGGTATTGACAATGAGTGCTATGAGGGAGATGGGAATGAGATGAAAATTGGATGCAGATTGTTTTCTTGAGTTTCAGAAATTTTCTCAGGCAATCTCAATTATTCTGATATGTTTGTGTTGCTCCTTGCCCTACCAGTGATAATGGAGTGATCTGTTAGTTGTTCCAGGGTGTGAGCCAACGCTGTATTTATAAAAAGAAGTGTCAGAGTGTTGAGCTAATTGAGGGATTCAAATGGCCAAATGTTCTGGGAGCAGAAAATAATGGCATGCAAAGCACAAACAGGTCTGGAACAAAAATGGAAATACCTCCCTGTAAAAAACCGTTATGTAGGCAACTGAGCGAGGAACATTTCCATCCACTGGCTGTTTCTGAAGACAATTAGTAGGCCAGAAAAGCTAGGTCTGCATTAGCAATTACACCTTCACAATTCTTTTATTTATTTATTTTTTTTTGCCCACGGGACAATGTCTATTCCAATTCAAACTGAAAAGTCCCATCTAATGTGGATCTTGCTGAGCCCTTGAAAATCTTCTATACCCCATAGTGCATTTAATTTTCTTTTTTTCCTTGCATCTGGCTTTAGTTATTACATTTCTTACAAACAAGAACCAGCTGTGTTGCTGCAAGTGCTGTGGAGCCTGTAGCCATGTTCTGTTGCTTTATGCCTTCCTGATGGTATGAGTGTAGGCTGGGACTGAAGATGGCAGTCCAGATACATAGGATATGAATTTATTGCCATATATGTTCAAACAGTTTCGCCAATTTGATTGCAGCTGCTCTTGGTCTCGATTCCCCATTCCTTTCCTGCTGCCAGATAGCAGCTATGCTGGAGTAGGTCTGTTTGTTGTGATACCCTCTCTTCTGGCTTGCTTTTCCCAAAAGAAAAGTGCTGTGACATGCACTGAGTGTTCTCTGTGGTTTCATCCATGTTAGACTACTAAAGAAGGGCAAGGCATGGTTTCAGGCACTGGCTTATGGCAAATACAGAGTTTAAGTCTGTGGGTATGGGCTGTGTTATGCTACTGGACAAGGAGGTCCCCAGACTGCTTTATTAAGTAATTCAGATGTAGCCATTGACTCTGTCATCTAACAGTAAAAAAACATAGCATGTTTCTTTAGTTAGTACTGGAACTTATGACTTTCCTGTGAATATATAAAGCACAAAGGGTCTCTTTCTTTGGCAATAAAAGTCTCCCTTGGATCCTCACCAGTATTTGTTATTTCCAGAGTTTTCTCTTGAGTGCTGGAGATGTGGATTCCTGGCTAAATGGTCTACATTATATAACTTCAGCCTTTGTTATATTCCGTATACTCATGACTTTCAGTCTTGTACCAGAGACCTCATTGGATTTGGCACAGAACAAATCCAGAAGAAAAAGATGGTGTTTGCTTCCAGGATTGTTGTAAAAGAGGAGGCAGATAGGGCACTTGGGGAACTGAAACTGAAGAATGGCACCTGTGTAGCAGTCAGGGCACATTAGCTGCCATGTCACTACTATGTTTAGTGTCCTGTGAGACTTAGCTGTAGCTGGCTTTGTGCATTTATTGCCTTGGTACTATAGAAAGAGTCAAAAGGTGTGCTTTCCTCCAGGGCTGGGAAAGATCGTCACTGGGCTGCACAGATGTTCAGATAGGTGGGCAAGGATCAAACATCATGGTGTTGCTTAGCAGATTTTCACTTTAAAAGTCAATTCATGGTAGTGAAAGTGAATGCAAACTGGTCACATTTAAATTGTTAGATTCAGAATCTGGTGATTAAATTAAAATTAGCTGGATTAACTAATATCCCAAACGTGAAAACACAAATAACTTCTGTTGTAAACACCTGTATTTTCTGTGATTTTTGATTCTGTGAGGCAAAAATGAAGGTTTTTTCATTTCTGGCAATGGCTTCACTGTATTTCTTTGTATGTTAAAAGGGTAGAGAACTGTTTGTAGCATAAATTAAGATGTGCTAGTCAATCCATGGTGACTGCTCCTGAGCATGCTCTTAGCACTTTGCAAAACTATTTTATTTTCACCTTCACTGAAATAGAATTAAATTAATTCTTATTAGCGGTCATCTGGTGATGTTCAAGGACATACACAGATATTGTGGCTGAGTCTACATACCACAGCTTATTCACCTGTTTTATCTTGATGTTTCAACAAGCACATTGGAGATGTAATTTTAGTTTGGAAGACTTTTTGTGCATTAGAGTTTCCATTTTTCTGCAGACTGAGCTGTTCTGTAAAAATGTTGTCAGAACACATATTCTTGAAAGTTCAAGTCTGAGAACTGTGACAGGTGATATAATAAGTTGCCTACTTATAGAAACATATATATGGAGAATTATGACACATACTGTGAATTATTTGTGTAATAGTATCACTTGACATAGATT